AACTAGTAGAAGAAATGAATAACTTGAGTACCTCTGGAAAGTAGCCTATGTGCAGGATCTGAGAATTCGACTTTTATGGCTGTGGTTGGCATAATCTAATGGGCAATCTGATTCAGAAATCCAGAGTGGTGGGCATTTTTTTTTGTAAATCCTCCAGAAATAAGGATCTCGGAAAATACATTCGAAAGATTGTAGTCAGCTGGCGTATAGTCTTTAATATGTGGGAGCTGTCATTTTGAATAAGGCTCGAAACTAAGTCTATTAATTTCAATATAAGTAAATTAATCGCATTTATTGTATTATCACATGGACGCCAGCTGACTGTGGGAAAGATGTACCCCCCCCCCCTCTCCGAATATACCTCGCGAGGACTGGTAGGCATCAATGGGATAAGCGCCCCCTGGGTGGGAGGATTTGGTTAGCCCTTCGTTTTTAAAAACAATGGCGACTTGCACGATTGGCCTCGCTGTTTTATTCCTTTGTTATTTCGTTGTTGTCCCTTCTGTATTATGCAACGGAAATCGTGATTCACTGTCAAGTGTTATTAACGCATTTGTGGTTCCACATAGCCACATGGATGTCGGATGGGTATACACAGTAGATGTAAGTATTATTAAGTTTGACATGACCTTTTTAAATCTGAAGACATCATGCGATGAAGTGTGATTTCGTAATGATATATCGTGTACTGTTGACTTGACTGAAAATTAAGGTCTAATTTAATAAAAAATCGTCGATTGCCTTTAAACATCCCTGTTCCAGGGTGACGTGATCACAGTCGAATAGAAATGCTGGATGTATAGCACTGCGTTTTCACTCGAAAGTGGACATCTGATACCTTACCTGAGATTCCTGATAATTCTCAAAGCTCCATAGAGCAAACCATTATAATAGCGGGGGTGATGCGGTGTATGATAGGATAGACGTTTCTGTATCAGGAAAAGATGTTTATTTTCATATGAGGGAATTCAAGATATCATATTTGTAGATATTAAATGACAGCATGGAAAAATTAATTCCAGCTAAAATAAAGTATTTAACAGTACTTCTTTCATTGTGGCCCTGGTATGTTCTGTCAAGTATTCTTTGGTGAGACAAATTCCATGTAATATACATATACATAGGGTGCAGTAGGCACATTTGTTTTTATTAGTTCCTGAGTAGGCAGAAAAGTTGTGTAGAATGATGAAAAATTTATATGAAGTTTGTAAAGTTGTCTAGGAATGCAGAAAAAATGTATAGAAATTGAAAGCACGAAAGGAAAGTTATTTTGTAAGCATAAAAGTTGTTTGAGAAGTTGGCAAAGTTGTCTAGGAATGCAGAAAATTTGTTGGAAGTCTGGGAATACAGAAAACTTTTCTGAGTTCTGCTTGAAAGTTGTTGTTTGTGAAGACAGGAAAGTTGCTGAGAAAGTGAAAAAAGTTGTCTTAGTAGAAAAGTTATCTGAGAAGGTATGAAAGTTGTCTATGATGACCACCGTAGTAAAGTTGGTTGAGAAGAGGAAAAGTCGTCTAATTGCTTATTATATTTACAGGAAAGTATGGTGGCCTATACAGCCAATGTATATACATCAGTTGTCAGCAATTTGGTAAAAAATGGCAAAAACCGATTTATAGCTAAAGAACAGGAATTCTTTTGACTATGGTGGGAAAATGTTACTGATGTGACTCAACAAGTTAGTACCTACATGTACATTGTACATTAATTTTAGAGCCACCCATTTTGGGGAGGCGAGCTTGAATGAGTTTCAGGAAAAAAGTTCTAGAAAATATTATTTTAAATAGTTCATCCTTCAATTCCTAATTCCCAAATTCCCAACAGATGCTATGTAATTGTATTTGCATATATGTAACCTGCCAGGCAAGGGTATATATAGGACAGAAATATAAGATGTTGAAAGAACAAATTATAGACTCGTGAACCCAGAAGAAATCAGCAGCATATTTGAAGTTTTTAAAAGATAGTGGAGTGAGTGTGGGTGGGTACAAAAGGGGAAACTTGAAGAATGATATAATACAGTTGAGAAACATACATTACCATGGATTACACAACAGCCAGAAATAATTTAAATGTTTTTTGCTTATAGACAGAATAGTGAGTTAGTTAACAGATGGCGGCATTTTTATTGGAAAGTATTTTTTACGCTGCCAGTTACTGCAACTCTGCATGTGTGGTACGTTTGAAATATTTCCTACCTTCCGGTTTGTTGATCTCAAGTTACGCAATATGTGCCAGTGCACAAATGCTATCAATTTGGGAATCAGGAATTGTGTGAGAAAATGACATAAATGACATATGACCTTTGATGTGTTGTTACTTAGCAACAAGTGCATGAGTTGTTACAAAATGGTCAGTTAGAGTTTATTATTGGTGGTCAAGTAATGAATGAAGCTGTCACTGAAACCTGAATACCAATATTCAACAACTTACTGGTAAGTGCTCTTATACATGTTTGTATCTGTTGTTGTTAGGTTCTTTACGTCGGCCACATTCCAACATGAGTTAGGACTTCAAGGGAACAACTTGAACTTGCAAAACTCACAAATCACTTGTTTAACATAGACTGCATTTTTTAGTGATCAAAACACTTCAAGCGAAAGTGTAAACTTCTGGTAATTATGGAAACTTTTAGAATGCCATAAAACATGAATGTTGCACAGTAAACAGATAAACTAACTGACCCACAGTTGAACATGGACTAAACTAGAACAGACCTACCATTTTTTAAAAAGGGGAATGGAACATTACGGTGTTTTCTGCGCAATCGGAGGTCAACCAATCAGTGACTGCATCCTAAATTAATAATGGAATATCAGTCAGAAAGGAAGGAGAGAATGTTTTTGATTGATTTCTATACAAACTGGAGCAGAATAATAATCAATGAATATATAGAAATTATCAACATCAAAACACACCTATGGCTTATTATGGTTTCAACAATATTTGTATTTGAACTAGAAGACAAACTCACACCGGGGGGGGGGGGGGGTCAGTTCTCTGGTTGATCATAATGTATGATTAATATCTCTTCTATTGTGGCAATCGCAACCGATTGAAAACTCTCAAAAAATGTACTCTGGGCAAGTTGTTGAGACTCTCATGAACAGTGTAACAATTAAGTTTACCCCTACATGTGTAATATATATGTATATGGTTGCACAGAATAGCTTCAAAGTTGCGTTTGTGCTGTTTCCTTGGCTTGTTTTCATCAGCTCCCCGATTGGCATTCCACAGTAGCTTGCACAAAGCCCATAGAAATACATGGTATAGTTGCTGTAGCTGCACCCAGAAAATAAGTAATAATGATACCAATCACCATCATAGCATAGAAATTGTTTCACCAGATCATGGATTCAAGTTTGACTACCATTAAGCAGACAGTCCCCTCCTACCCTGTGGGAGTATGCCACTGACTTACTTGGACCTCAAAAATAAATCAGTCATACATTTATAATACATTGATCCGAGTATCCTCTTTTTCCTGTCTAGAGAGTCATTCCTTTATTTATGATACATTTGGAGTTCTCAGTTCTCATGGCATGTTGATCCATTCGATGCTACTGCGACCACACCAGCATTATTTGCTATGGCTGCCTTTAATTCACATCTCATTTCAAGAATTGATTATGACAAGAAAGATGCCGTGCAGAAAAAATAGGTGGGTCACTTTGGTCTTGGTTGTATATAGCACAATTGTGATTTTAGTATTTTTATGATGAAATTGTTGATGAAGATGTTTTATATAATATTTTTTATTATTTTGGGCCAACTAGATGTGATTCCCCATTGGCTACAGATCTTGATCAAATTTGTAAGAATTAGAAAATGTTATACAACTTGTAAATTAATGCCGGAAAGCAGAAATTGTTTGGTGAATTTTGTTCATTAATGCTGTATAATCATAATATCTTCTATAGACTTACCTGTGATTCAAGGCCAAAAATTTGTTTTTCATCCAATCTTCTATGAATTTTTGATAAGGTCACTA